TGATTTGAGTTAACGGGTAAAGCTAGAATCACTACGTCACACATGTATGCCATCATCACTGCACTATGGTACTGAAAGAGTACTTGTTTGTTTGTAAGGAATAAGAAAAAGGCAGACAAGACTGCTAAAGAGAGAAAGAAGAGATAGGAAGCCTTAAGAGGATTGAAGACTAAGCAAACAAAAGCAGAAGAAAGAAGCTTTCATGATTAAGTCCTCTTTCCCATAAGAACGCATTCGACATGGGGTTATTCACAGCCAAGCATTCCCTCCTCCACCTCTCAACAGAAGTCATCTCACTAATGGAGGGGACGTGAGATGCAGATGCTTCAGAACATCAGTCAGACATTAACATGACTTTCCTTTTTGTCTTCACAGCTTTTTCTCACTCTCCTTCTTCATTTCTTTCACCCACATCTCTTTCTTTCTGGCCTGGGCTCTTTGTGCACCTCTAATTGATCTTGAGGAGTGAGTCTTTGTGCCAAACGTGCAATTACAGGAGGGACCTGATAAAGGAGCCCAGGAGAAGTTGAGGCTCTTTTCTCTGCCTTTTTGGACAAAACGCCCTCATCTAATCAACTTGCTCTGGTCCGCCGAACATGCAACATGTGTCTGCTCACTGGATAGTGCCAATGAATGGATTCATTAACAATTAATCAGGAACATATTATTCAGTGTTATCAAAAAAGCTTAAAGTGTCATTTGAACAATGGTAGTTTAATGCAAAATGACAATAAAAAGGACTGTAATTAATGCTAGATGGCAACATGAAATCAAAATGTACCCAATCTGCTTGTCTTACTGTGCACGCTTCATCAGTCCATGTTATCATAATGAAAAAATTAAAAATACAAAATGTTTTTAAGCTCATTACGCCATCACAATAAGTAATGGCTGAGCTCATGAATATTAACTGGATCATGCAGATGCTGCTACATAACTGGCCTGCCCACTCAGGTAATTGAATGCATATTCATGAGTCGGCTCTATTAGAAGTTTTGCTTTATATGCACCTCTTGCCAATGCAGCATCGAGCTTCTTTATATTTTACATGACCTTTTACCATTTTGTGTAACATTTTAAAACAAATCTATTCTAACACAAATATCCAAGGTATATTGAAATGAAGATAAAGTCTATAGTATTTGTTGTTTTATGAGTCAAAACTGTAAAGTCAAGAATTTAACATCACAAATAAATTGTGAAAAACTGATGCAAGCAAGAACGTGTATCTAGTGAAAGATATAATGTACACTACTGGTCAAAAGTTTGAAATAAAGATTTTTTTTATATTTTTGAAAGAAGGCCGTAATAACTCACCAAGGCTGCATTTATTTGATTAAAAATACAATAAAAACAGTAACATTGTTTAAAAAAAAAAGCAATTTAAAAAGAACTGTTTTATTTATTTGTTTTATTTTAATATCCTGTGATTGCAGAGAGGAATATTCCATTACTCATGAAATTAATACATTTATTGCATCTAGCCATTTATAATGTTACAAAAACTTTCTATTCATTAAAGAATCCTGAAAAAAAATTCACGGTTTCTACAAAAACATTAGGCAGCAAAAACTCTTTTCAAAACTGATGAAAATTCAGCTCGTCATCACAGGGATAAATTACATAAAACATATTCAAATACAAAACAGTTCTTTTAAAATATAATTTTTCACAATATTAGTTTTTACTGCATTTTATCATCAAACAATTACAATCTTTAACTGATCATATACAGTAATATTAATTACCAAACAACACTGAATATTCCGTTATATTTTGTATTCTGACATACATCACATTAAATGCATTGTGAATGTACAAGGTTTAGGCCATTTCTAAGGATTTGTTCTGAGGGAATACGGCACATTTTTTATTAAACAATTGATCTGCATGTCTCTCTTTGATCTATCATTAAATTTGCATACATTGGTGTGTGAAGGAAGCAGGGCAGGTCACAAGAGATAGTTTATGCATGGCTTAACCTTGAAAACACATACATCATGGCTCAGTTTCTCTCTGTGTGTTAAGCTGGCCTCATTGACACACCTCCCGTGAGGTGGGTGAATGCCACCTTTCCTGCTCGCCCCAACCCTGCTGTGAAAAACGCCTGAGGAAATAAAGACCAAAAAAAAAAATCTGGAACTGTGAAATAAGAACAAATGGAAAATAACCTGGAGGAAAACTGTGCTCGTCAAGCAAGCTCGTCAACATTCAGTAATTTTTTTTCTTACAAAATTTACAAATATGTATAAGAAAAATTGTGTCAAAATCTGTAAAAGGTGTTTTATATGTTGCCTTTAAGGGTCTGATGATCCAAAATGCCCATCAATAATGTTTGGCAACATCACTGATTCAAAACGAACAGAAGCAAATGACATGCAAGCGTGCATAATGGTTCACCGCTCGCCATTTCCTCTCTTGGATTGCACTTGTCACCTGACAACTATTCCCCTTTATCCAATAAAACCCACCTTGTGGAAACGGATCCATGTCAAAACGCCATGCATGAGAAATGGAGTGGCAGATAGACGGAGGCAGATGTAAAGGACAAAGAAATGAGCAAGGAGATATATCAAAAGGAAGTCTGAGAAAGGACATGCAGACGGGACACGAAAGGAAATCAGTGGAAGGAAACTCTTCAAAAGAATATTAATGAATGACAGGAATACGAACAGTGCACACCTTTTTGCCATTTTAACAAGAAAAAAAAATGTATGAGCAGCGTGGTCTTCAAGGACGTGCCACCCATAACCTCTCAAGCATTTGAAAAATTATTTGAAGATCAGCTATCATTCATGGAAGTCTGCATTCTTCCTGGAAACCCCGTAATGGGAGGTGACATAGGGGTGTAAAAAGGCATCAATTAAGGAATTTAATAATCAATTATAATTGCCAAAATTAAAGTATACTAAATAAAAATAACAAGTGGACAATTACCCATAACATACAGCAAAAACAACCAATGAGTCATTCAAGTATGCATTCTAATATTAATTAGGTGGTATAATGATTATTTCCCAAAAAAGTTGGGGAACAGCAAACTTAGAAATTAGCAACAACAATTACTACACCCCTACTTCATTACAGGCGAATTGTGTAGTCAGCACATTTAAAAAATAATTATGAAGTGCACTAAAGTAACTGAACTGAAAAACCAATTCTAAGCACAATTAATTACACTCCCACTAGAGGTTCAAGTTCTGGGCTAGTAACCAAAAGTTTGTAGGTTCAAACAATCAGCTGATCCATGAACCAGCACCACTGTTCTTGATCAAGACACTTAACTCCAGGCCACTTTGAATAAAATCGCCAGATAAATTACAAATTTGACATAGAAGCACATAGGGGTGTTACGAGACGAGACGAGACACGAGACTGGGTTCACGAGAACGAGACGATATGAGATTTGAGATTTTTTTAAAGAAATCCTCAATGATGAAATATATAGGGAAAAATAGTCTTTTATTCTTATTAAAATCATGAATCTTATACATTTTCACATCAATTTAGGAAATGTTTAACAAAAATTACATGTTTAGGGCCCTATGAAATGTTTTATTTTTTCTCACCATATTATTTATATATTTTTTGTTACCAAATTCTGTGTTTTAGCATGTCTAATTATTGGAATGCATAAAACAACTTAATTTATTCATTTTTTTTCTTAAAGTAGCCTTATGCTTTTTTTTCCCCCTCAGAAATTGTGTGTTGTATATTTACATTTTTTCTGGTTATCAAATGAAGGCATAAAACATTAATTTAATTTATCATTTATCTTTTAATTATTGAAAATTAAGCAAACAAGATTTTTTGGCAAACAAAGGCGATTTACTATTAAAATTAAAACACGGAAGAAATGTTTTGTGATTATTCCTTAAAAAATAATGTTTGTTTCATTTTAGTAGTAGGCTATGTACATTCTACTAAAAAATAGTTATAGGCACAATGTCTTCAAATCAAACCGGACTTTTATTTTGACGGGTTGCCGTGAATACCTTTACAGTTATGTGTATGAGATATGATGCTAGTTTTACTCAAATCAAACGCTAAAATGCTCATGAAGTGACTCTTAGAGCAGTTCTGGAGATGTTGTTCATGTGTTTATGTCCCCCTTTAGTGAGACGGCAGACGCTGAAATCACCGTGAGTGTCAGGCGTGCTTCAGTATGTGTGTAGTAAATGAAACCGCGTGTCTGCACCATTCATAAACAGAGACAGGCAGAACATGCAGGATTCAAATTTAAATCGACTTTTGTGGCTTAATATTTACATATACTAGTCCATATCGCGATTTGATTTAAGTGTAATGACCTACTTTTGAGTAATTCATTCAAAATTTGACAAATTCCGTGACATTCCGCGTTAAACTGTGAATTCAGTTTTTATGATTGGATAAAGACTACACTGCGTAATTTTCCAGCTTATCATGCGGCCACTTGCCTGATGTGAACAAAATATCTTACATACCACCACTTGTGAACGAGCCAGTGTAATGCAAATATATCTGAAAGGTCTGTGCGAGGATATAGTCATGTTCTCGCGAGACCAGTCAGATCTCGCGAGATGCATCGGATCTCGTCACACCCCTAGAAGCACATTTTCGGACATGTTTTGGCTGGTGTTGATGCAGCAGTACCTGGTAGGTGTCCCACAGGCGAATGGTACAGCGCAGCGGCAGCTCCCGCATCAGCAGATTATTCATCCAGCGGAAAGCAAACTGCAGATACTCCACCTCACACTTCTGAAAGTGCACGTGGACATCCTCTGTGGGTGTAGAGAAGAAAGCACAGGGGGGTTATATCCATTTGCCGGTAGTTTCGGCAAAGTGCTGCACTGGGAGTAGCTTTTGTAAACCATGTATGGACCCCCATTGTTTAAAGAAACTTGGAAACTCTGGCCCTGAACTAAGATCACCGGCTATTGTTGAATTCTCCCCACACCTGTTTCACTGAATTAACATTATAGACCCCTAACGTCCGTGTAATTATATTCGATTGAATGGAGAGAGGGAGGGAGGGAGAGAGAGAGAGAGAGAGAGAGAGAGAGAGAGAAGGTTGGGTTGGAAAGGAAAAGTAGGGCTGGTGCTTAGCTCATTGAGAGAGGGATTTTTCTGATAAGCTCTCGTTCGGCCTTTGAACGGAATAAGAATGGCTTTCAAAAGCAGCTGTATTGACTAGACTCCTGATAGATATTGATGGAGAAAATGTGACGGGTTTCTGAAAGTACTGAGACCTGAAGTCGGACCTATCAGAAGGAAAAAGGAAACTCTTACTGCTACGAATAAAAGCAAAAATAACATTTCAAAAAAAGGTTTTAATAATGAACGATCTTCGAGATGTTACATAAGGGTTGCATCATAATGGATTCAACTAATGGAGTGAGTCATTGGTGTGAGGATTGAACAATATCACAAATTCACTTATTTCACAATCCCACTTCTTTAAAAAAAACGACAAAAGATTTTGCTCATAATGATTCCGATTCCAGCAAACAAAATGAAAGTATAAAATATTTGCAAACAACTTCTTGTGCCATAACATTGAAACCATTGTCATTTTCTGGAAAATATCTTTTTTTTTTTTTGGTCCTCCGAGATAAAAAAAAAAAAAAAAAAAACTAAACTTTCCAGAAAAATTTTAAAAA